CAAGTTTGGTTTTGGTAACCTGCCACCAAAAGAATCCTCATAATATATCTTTTGCTATAATTTCTAAAGGGTTATAGTCTGAGGGTCATGCTTTCTGTCTTTATTGAGACTAATAACCTTGACCCTATAGGTAAAGGCACAAGGGGACGCATCTAAGGGGAGCTGGAGATTGTGGAGGCAGGGAAGTGAGGCTGAAACAAGAGGAGACCAGCTCTGATGGTGGCGATACCTTTAGCCCAAAGGATCCAGCATCAGGATCAAAGTCACCCAGTATCACATCCAGGGGGTGCCTCTCATTCTTGAGAGAAGCTGTCTGGTGCATTGGAAAAAGCAGTGATTTGGGACAAGTACGAGAGGCCAGATCTGCTAATGGTGTCATCTGGGGCAACATGCTTGGCATCCCTGAACCTCAGATGCTCCCTAAGAAATGGTGATAATCATTTCTCCAACCAAAGCTATAGGCTACTTCTGCCCTTGAAGTTTTTTTTTTTAATGAAAACTCATTGGATCTCTTTATGATTTGTTATAACTCTTTGAAGTGCACTTGGGTTCTTAAACTTAGAACCTTGCTGTTCATTGATGAATTTGTCTTGTCTCTTTCCAATTCTTGATGCCTTAGAGTCCCAGACCTCAACCTCCAAACCCAGTCACGCAATCCCTCATATCCAGCCTAGGAGAAAGGTTTCAGACAGTATGGAAGTCAATTTTATTTATGGTTGTGGGGCTTTGATTAAGCAATACATATAAAACAGCTACTGTGTGGTAGAGACCCAAGGTGGTATCGCTTTCCATTTTCTTCTCACTATAGAAAGAGCCTCCAGCCCTACATTGCAAGTCCAGATGTGGTTTCCTCATTGCTGCTTCTTACTTGGATGGTAGCCTTGCAAAGTGCTGTTGGGCTGCTGGAATGGTGAGGATTATTTTCAGTGGAGAGGAATTTAATCTCATTATTACCAGTAGTCCAGTTTGGGCTGATGGCCTATTAGGATTTCAGGCCTATCAACAAGATAAGGTACATCCTTTCCCAGAGACGTATGATTGCTACTGCAAAATTATTTTTAGGAAGCTTCTTTTTCTGTCCAGAACATTCACCTGAAAATAGCTCTGAGCATTGTGGAGGCAGCTCCTTGCAGAGAGCTGAACTGAAAGCCCAAGTCTGAAGATTCATGGAGCAGATTTTATCTCCACTTCTGGATTTTGTACTAATACAAAACACATTGATAACAAATAGCTGCTATAAGAAGCTTGAGGGTGATCCAAATTCAATTCCCTCTTTGCCTTTTATCCAGGAAGACTCTAAGTATCATGCTCTTGGAGGCAAGAGAAAACAATGACTATGTTCCCCCTCCCAGATGACAGTGGATCTTTCTATTGCATTCATATCACAAGAGTTTTCCTCTTCCTTCCTTGCGAGCAGAGTGCTAATTCTGTTCAGGCAGAGAGTGGTGTAAACCAAACTGGCAAAACTATTCCCTTTTTCTCATGATTGGTTTAGCGTGGGCAGGGGAACCAGGGAGTCAAGGCTGACAAAGGAGATAGAAGGAGAAGCTACTTGGGGTTTTGCAGGGTGGGGGATACAAAAAGAGAGAATCACAAGCAGGAAACCCTCTCCCACCACCTCTCCCCTCTTGGCCTTAGGATCAGAGCACAAGGATGTGAAGCAGGAAGCACCTTGCCACCATAGGACCTTAGCCCATGGAAATAAAGCCAGGACACTGAAGAGACCAAGTGGAAGTCTGGGTCCCTTGTGACCTGGTGAACTGTAAAGTCAAACCTTATACTACTTACTGCTGCACTTCTTTAAAATTAAAAAACAAAAGTCCTAGTAGCTGGGAAAACTGAGTTTTGTTTTTGTTTTTTTGCTATTTGCAGCTGAAATCAATCCTAACAGAGGCATACCCATGGGTTTCCTTCTGGTATCTTTTTTCCCCATCTTCCTTAGTAAACAAAACCCTCCCCCTGCCCCAGTTTTCATCTGGGCATTCAACCACTTGGAAAAAGGTTTGTTTCTCATAGTCCCTTACAACTAAGTGTGTTCATCTGGCTAACAAGATGTGAGCATATGTGTCAGGTGACAGCTGCTGGGGAACCTTAAAAACAGTGGTGCAAACACTTGGTCCCTTCTGCTTCCTCCATTTGTTCATTCAACTGCCTATAAGGAGAAAGTGCTGGCTGGAACTTCAATCACCATCTTGGACTGTGAAGAGGATGGTTTCCTCCTAGGGAGAAGAGTGGTAAGGTAAGAGAACCGGTGCCCCTGGGCCTTAGAATGCTTTCTTCCAGATCCTTACATAAGAGACAAAGAAGTTTCTATCACGTTTAAGCTATTATTATTTTGATCTCTTTTAATATAGCTACACCTAATTCCAGATGATACTTTGGATAAGCAGCTAAAAAGATACCCTATGACCATTTTGGGCCCTTATGCTCTGGGGTCTACAGCAATCTTCTAGCTTCAAGGAGAAAAGGGGATTAGTTGACATTAAGGAAAGGAGCATATTTTTAAACTTTCCCCCCAATTTCCTAAAACAAGTAGTTAAATCAAACCAACAGTTTGTCCCCAGCAGGAATCAATGCTATAGAAAGGGCAGGCAGTGTGGAAGAGGAAGAGAAAGACTCCAAGAGAAACCTAAAGAGAATTCTGGCTAAAGGGAGAAGAGAATAAAGAGAGGAATCCAGAGAGAATGGAAAAAGCAAGGATGGTAAACTGAAAATGGAAAGCTCAATGGTTTCTCTCCTGTCCCTTTCTTCAAAGCTCTGGGATTTGAACTGGGGACATGAGTTGGGGGATGTCCAGGTATCTGAGAATCCAAGAACCCAAGGTAACATCATACAGGGTGCCAGGGAATGTGGAAAGAACTGGGTACAAGCTCAGAAGGCACCTGACCCAAGAGGATAGGACTAAGAAAGATGCACATCTTCATCTAAACATGTGAGTGAGGGACTGCTATATTTTGGAGTGAGTTTGTCAGCATTCATGTGTGATTACTATTCTCCTATCTTGGATGAGGAAATAGGGCTGGATTCCATCAGTATGAACCAAACATCAACTGTGTACTAGGCATTTATAGAGTTTGCTTTAGGTCAAGGGACAGCAAACTTTCCCTGCAAAGAGCCAGAGAGTTAATATTTTAGGCTTTGTGGGCAAGTGGTCTCCATTGCAGCTACTAAATTCTGCAGTCGTAGCAAGAAAGCCATTCATAATGGAAACAAATGGGTATGACTGTGTCTCAATAAAACTTTATTTATAACAATAGGCAGTGGGATGAATTTGAACCACTGGCCAGCTGTAGTTTGATAATCCCTGTTTTAGATGCCAAGCGCTGTGTTAGCTACTCTAAAACTTGGTCATTTATCATGCTTTCGCAATATGCCTGACATTGTCCTAGATGTTTCCAAACACTGTCTGACATTATTCTAATTAGAATCCCATAAGTTTTGTGAATGAGGACACTGGCATTTGGAGATAGTACAAAACATAGCCTTAGGCTCACAGCCAGTAACGGTGCTGGATGTGGACCCAGACCTGCGTCTCTGGAGTCTGCACCCACATGGACACATGGCTCTCAGATTGGTTTCTGTTAATGCAAATTTTCTTCCAACCACTGTGTGTGTGTCGTGCTTGGGAGACTGTCCACAAGCCCACCTGACCACATCTCAGACATTCCCCAAAGACCAGAAGAGAGGAACATGCCAGCCAATCGCATGAAATGAGGCAATGACACAAACATTGTCTCATTTAATACGTTTCCTGCAGACAGAACAGTCAGCTTCAAATGGTGGGTGGGAAAGGAAGGGAGAGACAATTGGAGGAAAAAAGAGAGGCACGAGGCTCTGAGGAATTCCATAGCAGAGGAGCCTAATTATAGTGTCTCCTCTCCCTGGCCTGAGAACCCAGTGGACAGGAAGTTAAAAATACCAAGCCAGTCGATAGGGACCTACTATGGGCCATCAGGTTATGAAGGGTTTCCTTCCATGGATCTTACTTAGTCCCTGATATTGGTACCAGGACCCCCTTTTTCAAGGGTGCCAGAGGCTCAGAGAGGTAGGTAGATTGCACAAAGCCACCCAGCCCATGGGGGACAAAGTGGAGAACTGAAGGACATCTGTCTCACTCCAAAGCCAGGTCCTCTCCCCTGATCCATGGCTTTCGAGAATCACTCTTCCAAGTGGAAAAGCACCAGGGCTTCTCTGGGAGTGGCTTGTCCCATAGGTCACCCCTCAGAGATCCTAGTATGTGCACATAAAAGTCTCGGTTCTCTCTGCTCCTTTCTTTTTGGGGATGGCAGCAAAATATGCAGGAACAGGGAGGGCACCGGCCTTGAGGAGGAGCTGCATTCAATCCCTGCCCTTCACAAAGAACCATGTGACTGTGCTTCAAAAATCAGGGTTTCAGCCCCTCTTAAAAAAGAGAGAATAATCTAGACCTATCTCACAAGGTGAGTACTTGACTCCTATGATGAGGGAGCTCAGGATTCATTGGTGAATCTTAAAGTATACTGAATAGCAGTGACATTTTGGGAAGGAGTGGGTTGAAGCACAAGCCTCTGGTGTCCAGCAGATGTCCCGGTCCTGCTGGTACTAACATCTGGCCTAAGGAAAGTCACTGACCTCACCAGGGTTTGATTTCCTTCTCTGTAAAGTGGAGCAAATACCAGAAACTGCTCCATAGGGTTCTACGGAAGACTCAATGGGAAAACCTAGATAAATCTCCTTAGATGTAGCTATTACGACATTAGGATTATGTTGGTTATACATGGGCTCACCTGTTGAGTTAATAAAGGAGGGAAGGAAGGACTGAAGGAGAGCCTCTCGGGGCTGCCTGATGGCAGTCCTTCCTGATACAGCCTTACCTGCGTGGGCTCCTCGGGCTGCTCAGGTGGACTGAGGAGAGTCAGGGTTTGGGGGTTGAGTGGGCAGAGACTCTCAGGGGAACAAAATAGCAAACAGCTCTAATTTAAAATTTACTTATTAATTTTAAATTTATTTGTTCATTCATCCTGCAACTACTTACTGGTTGCTTTTTCCACAGCAGGTACTGCTAAGCTGTGGGGACGCAGGGGCCAACAGGAGAGATGTGGTCCTTCTCCTCACCAGCTGCTGTCCTGTGGGAGAGCCAAACACCAAAGCAGAACACCAGGTAAGGACATACTAATGAATCGTGGTATCCACAAGGAGAGCAAATACCAGGTGAAGAACAGGGGGTCCCATCTTTCCACTGAGCCACCAGGAAGGGCCTCTGGCAAAGTGGTTTTAAATAGCATGCAGGAGGTGGCACTGAAGCCCAGACTGGCCAGATAAGGAGACAGTACTGAAAAAGGCAGGGTGGGGGGTGGAATTCCAGGCATGGGGTTGCCAGGGTGAAGACCCTAAAGTGCAGAAGAACTTGGTTCTGCAGAGGAACTGGAGGAGCTGAGAGGCCATAGGTAGAGAAAGACCATTTGTGGTGAGGTGATGGGGTCGGACTGTACCCTGCAGGGCCTTGCTGGTTCCCTTAGAGTGTTGAGTCAGCTCTGGAGGGTTTTGAGCCAAGGAATGAAGATCTGCTCTGTGATCTGGGAAGGCCACCCTGGCTGCTCTGTGAGAGCCGAGTGCAAGTGGGAAGCCCATGAAGGGACGTGACTTCAGTGACTCAGGTAGGAGGTGATGAGGTGAGGACTAGGGAGGAGACCTTGGGGAGGACAAGAAGCAGATAGATTTGGGACCATCATGGGATGTAGTAATGGGAGAATGTAGGAGTGAGAAGGAAGAGAGCCGCTCAGAGGCAATGTCCAGAGTCCAGCATCCGGTGAGAGGAATGAGTTATGGGTTCCTTTTTAAACCAATTAGGCTTGAGAGTCTGTGACATATCCAACTGGGTGATATCAACCAATGAGTCTAGAGCATGGGACGGAGGTCGGGTCTGGAACCACACCTCTCAGAATTGCCAGCATTTGCATGCTATTTAAAACCACAAACCAGGTCCATGTCCAGGACTCTCACTCTCTGTGATGCTGACTGGCTGAGAATCTAGACAGCACCCAGTTCCCTGATAGCCCTGTGTCCCTGGCACCGCTCTGCAGTGGGCTCCCACACAGCAGATCTCCTCCTCTTCTCCACAGCATCTTATGGAGGCAGGGACTGTACAAGGCGACTGGCACCAGACCAGCACTAGGGTACCTTCCTTCTTAGAAAGGGCCCAGGCCCTGAGTGCTGTCCCTGAGGCCTAGGGACCAGGTAGAATCACATACCAGAGGGCATGTGGGCTGCATGCACAGTGCAGCATTGGAGCCACATAGGTACATTTTCTGGCCCCCCTGCCTCCTAGATCCTTGTAACTCAGCTCAGAAAGTCTTTCCAGCTCTGGGAGAGCTTTAGTCTCCCTCATCCAGCTTTCTTTTCCTGACTTTAGCACTGCACGTACAATGACCTTTAACAAATACTCAACCCAGTGTTTCTAATTTTAGCTGAACATCCACCTAATCAGTTCACTGTCTTTCTTCTAGAAGTTGGTGAAACAGAAGTATCAGAACCAAGATCTCCTTTTGGACACAGTCGATATTTCTCCAAGTTGCATATTATCTGCCATATATCATCTCTGGCATGCCAGGATTGAGGTACCAAGGCCTCTTCTCAGGAGAGAGAAGGCAGGTTAAGAGAGGCTATAGGTAACCAGGTAGTAAGAATTTGCTGCAGGGTCCTGAAAACAGCATTTGGCTAAAGCCCAGACAACCAAAGTTCAATGCCAGCTTCCTCCCAGTATTAGTTATGTGGCATAGGGCGTGCCACTGAGCCTCTTTGTGTCTTGGTTACTGCATCTGTAAATACTGATAATTTCAGGGCTGCCGTAAGATTGCAGGGAATACAGGAAAGTGCTCTGTCCGCAGTAAATAGAATTACAAATGCAACATATCATTTCCTGTGCACAACACTCAGCAATTTGTGTGATGAGAGTCTCTTACATTTCTGCTTCTCCTGGTTGCTTTAGATGGCAACTGTCCTGAGGGTTGGATCAGACAAGAGCAGCAGCTGCCAGAGGCTGTTGGGAGGCCCAGGGTTGCTGTGCTGCTTCGGTCCGATGACATCTCATGTCATTGTGCTTTTGTGCTTTCAAGGAAAAGCAACAGACTTTTCCTTTCTTTCTCTCGATTCATGTGGTGACATCCAATGGTGCATATTCTGTGGAACAGGCAGCTATTAGGATTGTTAAGTTGTCAGAGTAGGGAGAGAGGAGGCAGGGGACAGTTTATGTGAATTCACAGTTTATGTGAATGCTCTTATCTTGTTTTGTGTTTCTTTACCTAAACACATACATAAGGAAAACAGCCTACTTTTTTCTTATCTACGCTCCCTGTGGGCTCATACGGGCAGGCTCTTCTGGGGAAGGATGTGGCCACAGCCCCCAGGGTGTACACTACCAGTGCTGCCCACCTGCTCCTTCAAGCTGAAGTGAGAACAACAGCATCCACTCACGCATGAGGATCTGGGAGTTCACGGTTTGTCTGCCCTTTTGGCCTGCAAGAGCTGGGCGGAAGCCTCCTGGACATTTGTGTTGTCTCTCTCCATTTCTCTGGTTTTCCTCTGGCCCAGTTTCCTGTTCACCTCTGTCCTTGGCTGTCTGGTAGGCCTGACTCATAGGAAACCACAGCCAAGTCACCTGGTGGTCTGAGTCACTGACCCTTGGAGCATCTCTCTTGAACAATAATAAGAGCAAAAGTAAGTGCCTAAGTACAGCATTTTGCAATGTGTTTCAGCTAGGAATTGTTTCAAATGGTGAGTTCTGGGAATTCCCCACTTGTGTCAGATGACTTATCTTTGGCAACTCTCATACAAGCAAATCATTTTGTCTCCTAGCAACTGGCTTCCCTCCTCCTTTCTCTAATCCCTCCCTCCTTTTGTCCCAGGCACTACATTAGATCCTGAGCATAGAAATGAAGACTGCATGACCCTCAACAGGCCCCTGATGACATGCATGATGGTCCAATAAACCTGTGTGAACAAGTGGGACAAGTTCGCTGGTAAAGGGGCAGCAGAGGGTAGTGCCAAATTCAGCTGCAGGATTGTCTTGGACACCGGGAATGTGTGCAGGTCCAAGAGACCTTCCAGGCAGGATCAGATCATTCTTGGCTACTTTCCTTTGTGATCAACCAAAATGCTCTCTTAAATGGTGACTTTCACTGGGGCCATTTTTAAAGCTGCAAATTCCTTCCAGACACATAGGAGTGCTTCCCAAAATGAAGCACATGGACAAAGGGATAGGTCAAAAGAAAAATTGAGGAGGGTGGTCCTTTTCGTAAAGCCCCTGCACCAATCAGAGGAGGTTTTTAAAATTCCATGCCAATGTCCTGTGGACTAGACTGTGGTGAGTGGATGATAGCTGGTCAGGGAGCAGCACCCTAGGCACTGTGGGGAACAGTAGCTTCAGATGGGTCAATGTGCTCGCAGCTGGTCCTTTGGGCTCCCTCTGACATATGCTCAGCCCAGCTATGATTTTCATCAGAGCTCTGATAGAAAGTTTCCCTGTGGGCTCACATGACAATGTCCTCCTCAAACATGAAGAAAATCTCCCATGTTTCTGCCTCAGAGCCATCTCTGAAGCCTCGGATCTCAAGCAAGCACAGGTTGCCAGGATAGGGAGGTGACACCCCGGCAGCCACCTTTAACCAGTGCACAATGAAAACCAGTAGACAAACATCTGGCCTCTCATCTTTTGGATGGAACATTCTAGAAGGCCATCTGTACACTGGCCAAAGGTCCTAACAGAACTGAGCCTGGCTGTCCACAGCCAGGACAGCCACTCTTCATTCACACTGGTGGTTTCTCCTCCTTCCCTGTCTCACTCTGCCCCTGTCTCTTCACCTCTGCTTCCTGAGATCTCCCCCAAATCCACAGGCACCAAGTCCTGTTCTTGGGCTCTGATTTTGAGGGAGTTCAGACCAAGGAAGGGATATTATTAACATTTAAGGATTTGATATGGAAGGAATTTGAAAGTCTGCTCGTAGCCTCCTTAAACCTCCCATCTCTTATCTTCTGGAATCGCCATTTATACCTAAACAGGATGAAAAGAAAGTTCCAAAATGGCTTTGAAAACCCTCTGACCCAGAGGAAATGGCTGTCATCAAGTCAGGCCTTAGTAATACAGAAAGCTCAGAAGGTCTGGGGTTGGGGGTGGGGGCATTGATGGGGTAACTCAATTTAGCATGTGAGAAGGAATTCTAGTTAAACTCAGGGGAAAGCTACTGCACGTCATTCTTTCCTTTTCTTTGAAAAACAAACAATTCAAGGGGAATTGACGGCTGAGAAAAGATTGGGATAGTGAGGCTATATGTGCACCTAAAACAAAAAAAAAGTTCTTGTAAATATTTTTACATTATTAAAAAGCACATTAAATTAAGATCATAACAGTGGAACTTTATACTTTAAAAATTAAAAGTTAATAGACACTTTTTTCATGTCTTTAATGTCAAGATAACATGTATCTTCACATTATATAGTGATGAGGTGAGTATGAAGAGGAAGATATTTTGGGAAAAGGCATTCTGGAGACCCCCATTCATCCTCTGAGTAACTTCTGAAATTCTTTCAGTTGTAGAAAGTGAATATTCTACCAGATGGAAAGAGATCCGGGTATTTGGTAAGGTGTGGGAACTCCCTCACAAATATTTCAGGGCACTCCCAATTTCTTTTAAGTTGACTCTCCACATTGTCAGACCAGCTAGCAGGTGGAGCATGCTCTGTGTGCTGCAAACTGGGACAGAGTGCTACATTAGTCACACACTGTGTAGTTCATGCATAGCACCATGGTTCCATCAAGGGGGGAAGAGTGTCCACAGTTTAATAGATAAGGAAATTGAGCTCTTTGAAGCATGCAATGTGATCAGGTTTGATTGTAAAGCCTTGAAAGGCTTTTTGTATAGATATATTCACATCTTTGGGGGAAAAAAACTTGTCAGACCCCATGAATAGTTTTGTGGTTTAAAAAAAATGTGATTATTTAAAAATATTGGGATAAAGGCTGCTAAAGAACTAGCTATAATTAATTTTGTGTTTGGGAAGAGGAAGTTTATTCTCAGGGAGAAAATAATTCCTTTCAAGGCTCTTTGGTTATAAATAAGCTCCCCTGGCCCATTTTTTGTTTTTGTGTTCTTTAAATCAAAAAAGGAGGGCTGGGGTTGTGGCTCAGTGGTAGAGTGCTGGCCTAGCATGTGTGAGGTCCTGGGTTTGATTCTCAGCACTGCATATAAATAAATAAAGGTTCATTGACAACTAAAAAATGAAACAAACAACAACAACAACAAAAAAGGAGAAATTGCTCTGCTTAGATAATTTAACATTAGGCATTTTGGATTTTCCCTAAGCAATCTCAGTAGTCAGGAGTATGGGTGCCAGCTGGTGAATTGTACCCAAGGCAAGAATGGTCACTTTTATTACTATTGCAAATACCATGTGCACCAATTCCCTCTTGTTATCCTGAAACCTTCAGTACATCCTGTTACTCATAGAGCAATATATCAGTGACGCATTGGGAAATGAAAGAAAATAAAAAGTTTTGCTGATGTCTATGTCAAAGCAATGCCAAGAGAGTACAGTAACCCACAGAAACAGAGCTAAGAGAAGTCACTGAGAAAAATACAGAAGGAATTTAGAATAAGAGGTCATATCTACAGTCTCTATTTTAAAAATATTCAGGAAGGTGCTTAGTTTCTTGCAGAACTAGTCTAAAGGATATTTCAGTGTTGCTTTTTTTTCTGGATAATATAAAATATTGAGACAGTTCAGAAAGGTTACAAAGGAAACATGAGGCGGTAACGTGAAAGTAGACGAGAGAGAGAGAGAGAGAGAGAGAGAGAGAGAGAGAGAGAGAGAAAGACTGACTACAGACCAACATCCCTGATAAACACCCATGTAATAATCTCCAATTCCCAATAAAATACTCATAAGCCAAATTCAACCACACACTAAAAGTAAGTATACCATGACCAAGTACGATTCATCCTGGAAATGCAAGGATGGCTGGACATATGCAAATCAATCAATGAATCAGTCAATGTGATACTCTATATTAACAGAATGAAAGATAAAAATTAAGATATACAAAGCATACCAGTATTTCAATAGATGCGAAAAAAAAGCACTAAAAGGCCAAATGATCTTCCATTGTGTTTATGTATAACATATTATGTATAACATATAACACATATTTATACACACACACACACACACATACACACAAACTCTCATATACAGTAACAAAGGATCACATAATGTATGATTTCATTTATGTGAAATGATCTAGACTAGGCAAATCTATAGAAACAGAAAGTAGATAGTGAATGCTTAGGACTGAGGATGGCGAATTGGGATCTAATGGCTAAGGAATTCAGGTTTTTTTTCAAGATAAGGGAAGTGTTCTAAAGTTGGTAGTGGTGATGATGCACAACTCTGTGGGCATATTAAAAGTGAATTGTACACTTTAAAAGGGTAGGTTGTGTGGTATGTAAGTTATGTCTCATTCCATCTGTTTAAATTTTGTCTTGTTCCACCTAAGAGACATGTGGCACTATGACAAAAAAGATAATATTTTTGTTATGGAGTTTAAAAAGGAAAGCAAGAAGAAGGTAAAGCAGATAAACCTAAGAAAGGTATTTAAAGTGGTATGCTGAAAAAAAATGCTTTAGATAAATTAAAATGAAATCCTAAAAAATGCTTGAGGAAACCACAGGAAGGTAGAGAATAAAAACAATAAAAAATCAGAGAGAATAAACAGGAAACAAAAATAAAAAGACAGATGTAAGCCTTAAATATCAATAATTACATTAAATGTAAATGAACATATGCACCAATTAAAATATATTGGTAAAGTAGATTTTTAAAAAATGAGTGAATAGGTGCTATCTACAAGAAACTCACTTCAAATATGGTAGTACAGGCAGGTTGAAAGTAAAAGATGAAAGCAGATATTATGTAAACATTAATCAAAATAAATCAAGAGTGGGTACATTAATGTCGGAAAAAGTAGACTTTAGAACAAAGAAAATTATTATGGACAAAGAAGGACATTGATGATAATAGTCCATTCACTAAGAAAAATAGTGCCAATTTTAAATGTGTATGCATCAAGCAACTGAACTATAAAGTATGTGAAGCAGAATTGAAAGACCTAAAAGGGGAAATAGATAAATCTGCAATTATAGTTGAGACTTCAAAATCCCTCTTTCAACAAAGACAGAATAGCTAGACAGAAAACAGGAAAGATAGAGAACTTAACGCTAACATTATCCAGCTGGAATTAATTGACATTTATAAAAACTCTACCCAACAACAGAAGGCACTTTCTACACAAGTGCCCAAGGAACACACAACAAGAGAGACCATATCATGGGTCATAAAACAGACCTCAACAAAATTTTAAAAATTTAAATAATGCAGAGTTGTTTTTTTTTATCTGACCTCATGGAAACCATATTACCACTCAATAACAAAAATAACAGGAAAATATCCAAACACTTAGAAATTAAACAACACACTTCTAAATCCATAGATCAAAGAGGAAATCTCAAGGAAAATAAAAAATGCATTGAACTAAATGAAAACAAAAATGCTTGATATAAAAATTTGCAACTACAGCTACGCTGGGAGGAAAATTGACAGCATTAAATGCTTACACTAGAAAAGTCTGA